CAGATTCCATGGTAGCTGTATGGAAAGCACTTTTTTGGGTTCATACAACTGAATAAACCATGCTAAACAGACCATTGTTTTTTCCATGCTTCCTTGGAAACCAAACATACCTCACAGAGTTCAAGCAACACAACAGTGCGTACCACTGTGGAAACCCTCATGGCTTGTTGTTATGTGTGAACCAAGCCAACATGCCCGCTTCTGTGTTGCTTTTTTTCGTCTTTTCTTGCTTTTTGTCGTCTTTGCTTGCTTTTGTGTCTGTTGCTCCCATGCTCCCCTCTTGCAGACTCTCATGGGTGGTCCCCAGATTAGACCCATATTTGTGATACTGTGTCTTCTGATGACCAGGAGTACTTGTGTAGCAAAGCAGGCCCTATATTATCATCAAAAAAGTTTCCAAAGCAAGCCCTTGAAAAATCTACAACAAAACAATCAACATAATACTGTATGATTGTCCAAAGCCTTCTACTATGTGGAAGATCCTTTCACCTGATTTGGAGGATCCTCCTCCCCCAACATCACAACTCATCCCGTTTTCCAGAGTCTCCTGCCTTTGTAAGCATTTTCAGGGGGCTGGAGGGAAGGAGAGGGCAAAGGAATATACTTTTGCCAGGCCAACCGCCCTTGCTTAAATCCAGATCCAAACCAGAATGAGAAAATCCAAACCAAGACAAGGTTTCTGGACCTTCCATAATTGTCTGTAGGTGTCTGCAGGTGTCATGAAGAAGTGGCAAACGTTGTACCTGCTGTAGTCTCCCCATCAAGATGTTTCCAGTTCTGCACTGTCCCCTTAGGAACAACCCAACCTTTATATTCTTGCTTTCCTCTCTTTCTTCTGCCTTGGAGAATGCCTGCTGCGGGCCTGTATAAAGAGCCCTGCCAGGAAGCTGTATGAAATTTTGTTAATAAGCTTGTTAAGATAGCAACACCTATGTGAAGGATGAATTCCATAACTGAGGCTCAAAAGAAACCACAACTATTTAATGATTCCAGTGCCCTTGCCTCATTTGTATCTGGGCACTCTGCCTAGACTACATTCTGTAAAAGCACAATCCTGTGCATATTAGGAAGGGAAGAGAAGTACAACTTCCCAGACTTCTTGCTGCCCAAACGTGCATAGGATGGTGCTCTAAATTAGTTTAACTAAAACAATTTTGGCTGAAGAATGTTGTAGCTGAAGTACTTTTAGTGGATTTCACAAATAATTTTCACTATTCCCTGCAGGCCTATCTTGTGAAATTTAAGGTAATGCCTTTGCTTATTACACAAATTGCCCTTTGAGATGCACAATGCATCTTTTACCAATTGTAACTAGTATTTAAGGCACATGAGAGTCTACAGGTCAGAGAAAGCCTTGCCTTTGCTTTGATGGTGAATCGGACAAATGCAGTCTAGGAAGGAGGCTTAGAAATGTACTAAATAAATAATGGTCTCTCTATACATGCTTTAGCGAACATAGAGCCCACTAAAGTCAATGGGACCTTAGGGCTGACTCCATTTTCCTTCAAAGTGTTCATTTTTTAATAAAAGGCACAGCAGTCGTCAAAGGCAGTATTACTTCCTGGCAGGGGTAGGATCAAAGCAACCTCTGGAAAAAGAGACAGGAAGCCACCCACCTCCTATAATAAGTCCCAGAATATTCATCCCTGCTTATCTTTTTACTTCTTCTCTGTCTCTTGGCTGAACTGCGCCTTTGTCATTGCTAGATGAACAATAACCCTTTGGTGTTGTAGCTCAGAGGCTCCCAGAATTGTGCAATTCTTTCTTGAGCGTTCACCGACGTTGGAAAACACTGTCCTGCTGTCATTCTGATATATTTATCTAGTTTAATGCTTAATGCAATGTCCTGTCGAGGAATAGTCAGGAGATCTGGAAGCGTCTTTGTTTAGGGAAGCTGGATGTGATCTAATGAAATACTAACTAGCCTTTGCAGGACCCTTTTCCACACAGTGTGCCCAAGGAGCCTTGTAACGCAAAGAACAACACAACACAAAACCAGGAATACATTTCCATATATCAGTTGCAATAATCCATCATTAGCATGATAACTCAATCAGTTGAGGAGATCTCTTAACACAGTAAGTGAACAGACTAATAGGGGATCATGTAGCCAGAACACTAGAATACTCACCCGCACCAGAAACTAGGTTTTTCCTTTTCCAGAAGGCAGAACTCACCCTGCTCCCCAATGTCTTCTTCTGGTGCAGTTCTCAAGGCTCCAACAGAAACAAGATGAAGCTTCATCTGCAGTCTGGAGGTTCCTGCTGCTTGAGGGCACATGTGGTCACCCCCCAAACACAGAAGGAAATAGTCAGTGTCCATGCCTGCAGTCAGTCGATAGCATCGTACCTCTGGACTGACCAGGCCACATCTAAGTCACTCAGGGCTTTCTGCCCCTAGCAGCACCTCATGCCAGCTGCAGCCCCCCACTCCATGGCTGCTGGGCACAAAGCCCAGGCCTGCTTTTCCCTGTGACTTGTGACCCTGCAGCTGCTGCTGGTTAAGCTCCCATGCTTAATTAGCATAGCCCAGTGGTGGAAAATGTTGGGGGCTCCAGGCCAGTAACAGCTTCAGGGCCACAAGTTCCCTGCCTCTGCTTTTGGCTTGCCTCCTCATAGCCTAGACAGAGAGAAACCAGTTTGGCGCATAACGCAGGGGACCCACCAGATTGCACCGTTGCTTCTCGGCTCTCCTGCAGATGCATGATTAACTGATGCATAGCTGGGAGGACAAGTTTTTCCCCATCTATGTATGAAGAAGAGCTGCAAAAATATACTGCTGAATCAAGTAGCTATCCATATGGGATGCGTGCCGTGTTTGTTGTCCCTGCCATGGAGTAGTACGGTTGGAAGCCCTTGCTGGAAGCTGCTTGGAGCGCCTTCCACATACGTCTCCCACCATTCACTCTCCCCTGTGGACCCTGCTTGGGAAAGCCTGGTGGGGCAGGGCTGTGGTCACCAGTGCTGGCAGGTGCTTGGAAAAAAGTCCTAAGAGCCTGGGAAGTAGGCTAGGCTGAATATCAGCGACTAACCCGAAGTCGCCCAGTGAGCTTCATGACTAAATGGGGACTTCAACCCAGCAGTATCCCCCGTTCCGATTCAACACTTTTACCACATCTCACCTCCTTTGTACATTTGTTTGAGGAACTTACATTCCACAAAAACATGAAGCTTTTCAAGTCCTTCAGAGTCTTGCCTATCACTGGGATAGGCAGCATGAAGAGGCAGGGGATGGGTGGAAGAAACAGGCTAATCCACAAGACTGGTCAGATGTTGTGGCCACGACGCCTGCAATTTAGTTAGCTCCAGTCGCAAAAGGGTGATTTGCCATCTGAATGAATTAGTCAGTGGCTGGGCTTGCAAGTAGGCATTTTGGGAGTCAGAAGCAATGGATGATCTCCATTTCCAAAAACACAAAGGCTGGCTGAAACTCTGAACTGCCTTTTGTCCCTTCTGCTTAATTTATAATGGCTATTTTAATGTACCCTGGTGGAAGGCTGACCAAACCCTGAACCCAATAAAAGGAGTTACAACTTAACTTCTCTGAGTCTGCATTTGAATTGGAATGGTCACCAAAGACAATGGCTCCAGGAATTCAGGGAGTTTGGATAGCTTTTATGGCTTCAACTCTTTCAGCCCTTTGTCAACTTGATACTTCTGGAACAGTAAAGATGTGATCTAGCCAAAGCTATGCACTTTGATTTCTCTTTATTTCAGAGGATGAATGAACCACATGCTTAAAACTCTCCCGCTAGACTCAATAGGGTTTACCATTTTTGAGTGTATATGACCAAACAGAACAACTTTGCAATAATATTTGGGTTATAACATATATAGCAATTGTTATAGGCATTGAAAAGGGCCAAATGGCTGCCAGTTCTCATTTGTGTACCTTCAAAACAGAAAATATAAAACAACTAGTAATTTCATTGCTCCCGAAAGCTTGTTAAAGGCTTTTCTCATATAATGCAAGGATTGTGTTTAATTATGTGGATTTGCAAGCAGAAGAGTCTTAATTACTGTGGTTAATGTTCTTAAATTGTGAAGGATCCAGTAGTAGGCTGCTATTATTATAAGACAACCAAATTCAAGGAAATTGGAAATTAGGAACGCTGACTAGAAACTTGAAAGCCAAGGTGATATAGCAGTTAGAAGGTTAGACTGGGACTCTGGAGATCTGGGTTCTAGTCCACACTTGGCCATGGAGCTCACTAGGTGACTCGGGGTCAGTCGCTGGCTCTCAGCCTAGTCTAACCACGTGGTTGTTGTGAGGATCAATGGAGTGAACCGCTCTGATGATGCATGCATGCTCCCTTGGCCTCCCTAGAGGGAAAAGGCAGGATAGAAATGTAACAGGCACACAATGAAACCACTATTGTTCTGCTTTTAAAATGAGTTTTCTTTAAGGGTAAATAGAATGTGTTTCCATCACAAGAAGGGACGCTAAGTCCTCATTGTATGATGCCATCTCCAGGAATCAGACACCCAACTGGTACATTCCTGCTTTTTTCACATACCTGCCTTGCCAATCTGTGATCCTTTGCTTGTGATGGAACACGATCAGGAGTACCTGTTCTGGTCACCTTACCTGAAAAAGGACATTATTGAGTTGGGAAACGTACAGAGAAGGGAACAAAACTGACCAGAGGGCTGGAGCGACTCCTCTAGGAGTACCTACAGCTGGGACTTTTTTGCTTAGAAAAAAGGTAAGGGGAAAGATAATAGACGTATTTAAAATAATGCATGATATGGAGAAAGTGGAGAAGGAGACCTTTTTCTCCATTTCCCATAACAAACGAATCCAGGATCATCTGACTGGTGTGAGATTTAAGACAGATAAAAAAGAGTACTTCTTCACACAGTATATTGTTGAACTGTGGAATTCACTGCCATGGGAAGTGGTGCTGGTCGCCAATCTGCACCCATCCTGCTCAGGATCAGCTGGGTTGCCACCATGTGAACAAAGCACTGGACTAGATGGACCTTGGGTCTGATCCAGCAGGGCTTTTCTTATGATGTTCTGCTCTTCTCATCTAACGCACACCATCAAACATGCAATCTGGGTGCCACACAAAGAATCAGGATCTGACCCTGGTGTGCAGGGAAGGGGAAGCCCGCAACTCGGGATGGTGGGAACCTCTGTGAGCAGAAGGCTTCCTCTCACAGAAGGCAGATTCTGGATCCAATCCCAAAAGCACTCATGCCCACGGTTTTTACCTCTCCACCCCACCAACCCACAAAGGGAGAGTGGGAAATGGCACAAAACCCTCGACTAAGAAAGTCCCACTTAAAGTACACCTGCAATGTGAACATGAGACATTTTGGTCAACTCATGGTAAAGAAAGAGATGCTTTCCTATACTAGGAAGAGAAGAAGAATATTGGGAAGTTAAAAACGTGAGTTTTCACCATCTTTGACATTGGTACGTTTTCACTACTGATGTTCAAGTTGCACAACGATCAACATGAACAGACAAAGAAGTGGTCCCTACCTGGACACAGAGAGTGCTCTGTTGCCATCCCATGGTGCACAGGAGCAAGACACGAGCAGGCAACCAGCTCCGTAGAGGCAAGTGCTTGGGAAAAGTGTCCTTCGAGCATTTCCTCGTTAGCTGTTGAGTAAGGGCAGATATAAGATGTTATAGTGCCACCTGCTGTTTGACTGCTGGATGTTGCTACAAATTCAAACTAGCCCTTGAATCCCTACCAGCCAGCATCTTTCCCTCAGTTTGGGAATCTTCTTTCTCAGGATCCCTTTGCAGAATGAAATCTAACTCTTGGCACTGAAATGCTGATGAGGATACACGGCATGGTTATGGTGAAGTTATTGACAATTACAAGTGCAGCGGCAACAGCGGTGCACTGAGAAACGCTGCACTGAAGTTACGTAGCCTACAGGATTGTCCCTACACAAATAATTTTTTTTCAGTGGCAGGCAGGCATGGCATAATGCGAATAGAAGTCCCTCCCACCAAATATATCTGGATGCAGAAGTTACCTTTTCTCAACATGGAACTTGCAGGGCTGAGATTTTGCACATTCTCAGAGTGCAGGAACTATCTCCCAAGAAGGCAACTTCTTGTTTCAGACCAAGAATGCTTCATCCTGCCTCACACTGGGTTCAACCAAATGCCTTTGAGAGCTTGTAACTGAGACACAGAGGGCAACAGCTGCAGCATTTAGTGCTCATAAGCACACTGCCTCTGAACACGCTCAGGGCGCGATCTTATGCATGCTGATGATTCAATGTGTTCTTTAACTTGAGAATTGAAATGAGGGTGAGAACATAGGCATGTTTGAACACAAAAAATTCTGCAACTCCCAGCATTCCCCAAGCAGCCTGTGAGACATTTTTCCATACAAACATGCATGGGACTATGTCCTTAGCAGTCATTCATGTCTAAGAGTCTTTGAAAAATCTACTGTCCATGAGTTGTGTCCGAAGGTGCAATTGTCTGCATGTTTAGACAGAAAAAACACTACATCTCCCAGCATGGCTCCCTGGGGAATGCTGGGAGTTGTCAAACTTTTTATATTTAAATATGCATAAGGCTGCACCCTGATTTTAATTTTACATCTCCAAGCTAGTGACCAATCGCCACATGTGGAAGCCAGTTGCTTACTTGTAGCAGAAGAAAACCCAGAACGGCAGAGAACTGTGCTCCCCTTCTGAAATTAAAAATCATGTGAAGGGAGGCCACGTGAGGCCATCTTGACTTCCCAGCTTGACTGCCTCCACTTGCAACCTTCATTTGTTGAGGGAAAGGTCTGAAACTTGAACCAATGCCTGTTTAGTTAAGCATGCATCCATTTCAGGATTTATTTGGTGGGCAGAAAGTGGATGTCCAGGCATTTCTGAGGCAGTTTCCAGAAGCCAGCTTGGCCAGTCTTCGGGCACCCTGGGAGCTGAAGTCCAAACATCTGGACCTCTATGTTCTGTCCACCCTAGCTTACATCCCTGGTATTCTCATTCAAGGGGCACAGTCTTCCCCAACCTGGGGTCCTCCAGTTACTGTGGACTACACCCCCCAGCATTCCTGACTGTATGTTATCCCAGCTAGAGCTGATGGCAGTAGAGGTCCACAACAAAAGGTAGCGTCACATAACATTGTACTGACCTGGGGGAATATTAGACTCCTCTAATACACTGACTGGTTCAAAATTGAGAATGAGTTCTGCAAGGCTGTATACTGTTGCCCTGCCTATTCAACTTGTATGCAGAGCACATCATGAGAAAGGCGGGCCTAGATGAATCCCCAGTTGGAATTAAGATCGCTGGGAGAAATATCAACAGCCTCAGATATGCAGATGATACCACTTTAATGGCAGAAAGTGATGAAGAACTAAAGATCCTCTTGATGTGAGTGACGAAGGAGGGCACAAAAGTTGGCTTGAAACTCAACATTAAGAAAACTAAGATCATGGCATCTGGTCCTCTCACTTCCTGGCAAATAGATGGGGAAGAAATGGAGGTAGTGACAGATTTTATTTTCCTGGGCTCCAAGATCACCACAGACAGGGACTGCAGCCAAGAAATTAAAAGATGTTTGCTTCTTGGGAGGAAAGCTATGGCAAATCTAGACAGCATACTAAAAAGCAGAGACATCACCCTGCATATAGTTTTCCCAGTTGCAATGTATGTCTGTGAAAGCTGGACCATAAGGAAGGCTGAGTGCTGAAGAATTGAAGCCTTTGAATTGTGGTGCTGGCGGAGACTCCTGCGAGTCCCTTGGACTGCAAGAAGATCAAACCAGTCAGTCCTAGAGGAGATCAACCCTGACTGCTCTTTAGAAGGCCAGATCCTGAAGATGAAACTCAAATACTTTGGCCACCTAATGAGAAGGAAGGACAATGAGAAGGAAGGACTGGAGAAGAGCCTAATGCTGGGAACAATAGATGGCAAAAGAAGAAGGGGACAGCAGAGAATGAGGTGGCTAGATGGAGTCACTGGGGCAGTGGGTGTGAGCTTAGGTGGACTCCGGGAGATGGTGGAGGACAGGAAGGCCTGGAGGGAAGTTTGTCCATGGGGTCGTGATTTGACAACAACTACAACAACACATTACAGTTAACTGATATGTGGATTTAAAAAAAAACTATTTGCAGTTCAGAGAAGAATAGTTGCTTGTCTCTTTTTCTTTCTCTCACTCTCTCTTTGAGAAAACATGTTTCCTGTACATTTTATTGGAGATTCTGAATGTGTAAAATTACACACTGGAGGCAGTCAAAACATATTGCAAAATGAGGTGCTTGATTGCAAATGAACTGTAAAAGCTGATAGTTTGTTTTCTTGCAAATTAGCAATGGTGGGTGATGAATGAATTTCTCAAAATAACCCAGCAGCTCCAAAACTCTACTTTCACTATGGAAAATACAGTCCTTTGCGAGAAAAAACACAAACAATTCCATCTGTGCTTCCAAATACAGACCTTAATTTACTGCAGATGATCTTGTATTTACTGTAAATGGGCATATTTTGCAATGGAAAACAACATGTTGCAGTGAGGAAGAAATTATCTGCTTAGTCTAATCAGATTGAATATAGAGGCCTGATGCCTGGAAATGTCCTGTTAAAAAGATAAACTTTCTTCTGTGTGGTGTACCATTAAGAACATACACACATGCAATCTTTCTTAAGTATATGTTCTCATAGGAAGCAACAAAGCTATGCTGTGCAAGCCAGCAGGCTAACCCACTGGTTATATTTTGCTGATAGTTAGAGCACAAATGACAAATCTGATAAGCAACGCTGAGCAGAATGAACGATTTTGCCATTAAGGGTGATTTGTACTACCACACACATGATGATTGCCATGTGTATAATTGCAGGCTATCACAACTCCAAAGAGGGCTCCAGTTATGGGCATGCCCCAGGCTTTTCCCATGCTGCCTTAGTAATTGGACTCCCACATCTCATCCCATCAACCATTTGATATGTTTCCATTGATTGTAGAAGCCACCTTGAGGGCTGTTATGCTGGAGAGGCCCTGAATAAATGAATAACAAGCCAGAGGTGCGTATGTGTAAAAGGCAAGGAAGAGGTAATGCAGCAACGGTGTGAATCACATTTAAGAGTGGTGCATTTAAGTGCTTTCCTTAATTAATGTGACAGCCACATGTTTGTAAACATCTGTAGACAAGGGGGCTGATTCCAGTTCAGAGGGAGTCCTTGGCAAAGCGCCCTGCCTATGCTGGTGTGCCTGGCATGTTTGTGTAACAGCAGCAGAGCTGTGTGCAGCCCAGGCAGGTTGGAGCCAGCACCTGTGGGGTGTCAAGGGTTGCACCACAGTCCAGGTCCTGTCGCAGGATGCTGTGTGCAAGCCCCAGGCCTGGCGCCTTTCAGTTACAGCTGTCACCGAGTGGTGCTTGGCCTCAGCCCGCTTTTGAGTGCACGTTGATCCTGCATTTACTTCTGCACAGGGCATGGACCAGCTCTGAGACACGTTTCTGAAGGGTAGAGAGGTGCAGTGACGGCTTTGTTCATCAGCTGATGTTAACAGGGAACCTGCCACATTATCTTTCCTCGACCCATGAATACCTCTTCAGTCCTCCTGAGAAAAGGGGCATGCTCTTGCTTTTCAGCCTCTCTTCTCCTGTTACATTAAGGTGTGCTCTGCATTAATGAATAAGAGAGACATCTGAAGGACAGGCGAGCGTTTTGGCCATTGCAGGATGAATGGCTGATCATAAACCAAAGGAAGCGAGAATGCTTTAAGCCTTGTTTTACCATGTGATGCCAGTGCTTTGTCAGCTGCATTGATTTCTGGTCCATTTCTGAGCCCAATTTGAAAGGTTGCTGTTGCCCTTTAAATCTTAAACCATTTTAGGTTATTCTATTCCTGCACTGCTTTTTCTCTGCATTATATTGTATATAGTTCTTTTAAATATTTGCATTGTATTTTATAATTTTAACTGCTAAGATGTTCTATTTTAACTGCTAGCAATTCACGTAGGGAACATTTGTTTTAGGAAGGCTTAGAAATGCAATAAATAAATAAATATACAAATCGGAACCTGTCATATCTCAAGTCATAGGATTGGCCCATTAAGCTCAGTATTATTCATATGGACTGACCATGCTTCTCCAAGGCTTCAGGCAGGAACTTTTCCCAGCCCAGCCCTACCTGGGAATGCCTGGGATTGAGCACGGGGCTCCCAGTGCACGCTGGTGGTGGCTGGTGGCTCCGTTGTCAGTGGGCTGACGTCTCCATTCCAGGCCCATCGTGTCGCGCTCTGCCCCGCAAACGGGTTCAGCACCATGGATGGCCCCTCTGCCATTCAGACTGAAGCCCAGAGTGGATCCGGGGCTCCAGTGACATTGCAGCCACCTGCCTCCAGAGAGCGCCATGATTCTCTGCTGAGAAAATCCCCCACAAGCAATGCTCCCAGAGAGCTGACGGCATCCCTTCTACAGAGCCTTCCACCAAATGTGCCAGAGTGTCTTGACATGATTCATTTCCATGCTGTGCCACTCCTGGCCTGACCAGGTGTTCCCTTTTTACAAAAGACATTTGAATGACTGCCAGTGGATTGTCAGCTAGTGGAGGGCATTCTCTATGTGAAGGACTCTCTTGCCAAAATCAAGAACTGCTGAATCCATGGCCCTCCGCTGTTAGCAACACCTGGGCAGCAGACCAAACCTGCAGGCATGCAAGCCACTCAGTCTTCCATACCATGGTGAGATATGCTATTTTTTTTTACTTGGAATATGAATATTTTTATTCACTTGAAATAAATTAGCATGTGCACATCATTGTCCTCTTTCGTCCTCATGCTTGGCAATGCATTTCCTCTCTCTTGGTGATCGATTCATCCACTATCCCCCCCACCCCCAATTTAGTGCATTTGCTTTCCGGCTGGTGGTGACAAGGCCCATAATAGGCCGAAAGTACCAGGACAGACATCCCTATTTCTTCTCAGTGATTCTACTTGGGGCCGCAAGGCTCATTTTACCAAACGGGCTTCAGCAGAGGCAACAGCAGGGCAAAGGAATCAAATGTATGCTGCAGGCAGTGATGAATCTCTTGCTTTAATTCTCTTTGGAAAGGCTGCTTGCTGCCACTTTTAGTGTAAACCAGGGTTTCTCATGTGTGGAGGGGATACAGACTCATGGAGCTGTGTAGCCAAAGGATGATTTCGAAGAGAGGGGGAGTGAGAGAAGAGCTAGGCCTCGAGGGGCAAATCTGTCTTTGATTTTGAGGAAGGCTGGATGAAGGATGAAGTGTGGCTCCATCCCTGAAGAGAGAAAAGGTCAGGCTCTCCAAATGATTTTGGAATGCAGTTGCAATTAATCATTTGGCGCTGCCTGGACAGAAACGGAGGTCAAGCAGGGCAGAGCTAAGCTGCCCATCGAATTGGGGCAGCCCGCGGCATTCGTAGTCCGGGTCCTGCTCAAGGTCTTTGGCGGAGGTGAGACTGTGGCCTCGACAGAAAAATGAGGGAAGCAAGCCTCTCGCAGGCAGCATGAGGGGGCGCTGCCGTCCACATACTGGCCACGGACATCCTTCTCTCAGGATGTCCATGGCAGGACCATGGCCTGGCGAATGGGCCCAGCAGGAAGGAACGCCTTCCTTCCCCAAACGGAGGGTGGAGCAGCTCTCAGGCCTGCTCTCAGGCAGAGGCGGGGACTTGTTCTTCTTTGAAGTGGCACATACATATGTACCCGGCTTTGCATCTTTCCCATAACAAACATTAAGCACAGTTGCAGGGACTGGGAGACAGAGTGTGTGCCCATGCTCCTCATCCTAGGAATTAATACTTACCAGGCAGACCCACTGAACTCTGCAGGACTTACCTTCAGTAAAGCTGCTTTAGAATTAACCCTAAACTACTATGTTGACTGACTCTGTGTGTGTGTGTGTGTGTGTGTGTGTGTGTGTGTGGTTTTTTTTTTTTTTTTTTACCCCGGATGGCAGTGGGGTTGTACCTCTCCCAAATGCATTTCCTTATCAGTCCTGGAGCAATCATAATAAAATATAGATTAAAACAAAACTTGATATTTACTCACTGTTAAATGAGAAATATTTATTTTGTCTTAATAGGTTGTTAATAATCCTTGAGGGTTGCCCTCGTTTCTTCCAGCAGCTTTTCCATAATACGGCCAACTGTTGCATGAAGGGACAAACTAGAGATGACAACAGAAATGTGTGACTAGATCTGTTTAGATCTCACACACACACTCACACACACACATGGATGGATGGACGGACACACAAAATGGTGAGGGGGAAATCTAGATTGGCACCATAGTGTGGAAAGTGGGGGATTGAACCCTCCCCCCATTTCATTCATTCAATAAAATTTGCTCTGTCGGAACAACAGGAACAACAAACATATACACCATAGCATGAATTCCCTGGAAGAAGGAGCCAAGACCACACCCAGTGATGGTTTTTTTTTTTTAATTTTAACTGCACAACAGAGATAAGAAAATGAGTCTGAAAGATAACTTTATCCATTTTAGCAGTGTGAGGACTAGAAGGCCCCTTATCATTTGCTTGCAATTAGTGCTAGAAACAAACAGTTGCTTTTAAAGTTTTTTTAAAGTGGTTTGGAAGATAGGCATGACTTCTCACAGTGCGCAATGGAAAGAGGCAACTTGTAGCTGAGCAGATGTTTTGGCCAACAGCTTCCATCAACCCGTGAGAATCATGCGGAACTTTAACTTTTGTCCTGTCCACCAGCAATGCAAACCAGCATTTACAGAGGACGAAGCAAATGACACATATGGGGAAAAGGAATGAAAGCTGCCGTCCCATGCTTCACCTCACTAGGCTTCCTCACTTTGAAGCAGCCCCACTTCCACGCCACATCTCAGTGGGGCCCCAGGGCCAGGAGTGAAGCAGCCGAGGAGAAAACTTGCTTAGGAGAGCAATCCGATGGTCACTGGAATTGTTTGGACTGCCCCTCCTGGGGTCGGAGGTGGTGGTCCAAATTCAGGAGGAGCAGTCACAGGTCCAAGCCTACTTGCTGCCCTCTGAGGTCAGGAAAGTGGCCTTGGAGGAGGAGGAAAGGTGGCGTTCAAGTGGGTGAAGATGAGACAGGTAAGAGCAGGTTGTGGGCTAATCTGAGCTGCTTCCAGCTTCCTTCCCTTCCCCTCTGAAGTGCTCTTGAGGAGCCAATAAAGAAATCTGCCTGAACCTTGGGGCAGGAGGACAGGGGGCAAAGACCATCACCACCCCTCCTCCTACCCTTATTCAAGCCACTGAGCCGGCGGGGGGGGGGGGGGGGAGGGGCGTCTGATCACCGAGATAAGGCATGGGAGAAAGGTAGCTTTCCTCCCACCTGGCGCATACCTGTTGCTGTGGACATGAATAAACACCCCATCAATTGTGCTTGAGAATGGAGCATCCACCTATTTAGCATATACAGGTTACCACTGCACATGACCCTGAACAGAGTTCGGCCCTCGGTTGCTCCAGTGACAATGTTCATTGCTGCGAGAGAGGTTTCCAGAGACTGCTTCTTCCGGAAGACCTCCCTGCCAAGTGCAGGTAGGCAATGAGGGCGAGAACCTGCGAGTGCAAGAGCACAACGCAAATGCCTCACCTGCAGTTTATTAGCTCCCTTAAAGGGGGTAATGCACAGAGGCTGACCCAAGGCCACACGTAACGCTAACACAAACACAAACACTGAAGCAACTGCCTGTGCAGCAGTCCATGGTAAGCTACAAGCCTGGTTTCTGTCAGCCTAGACAAGAGACCCGTTGTCCCCCTTCAAATCCCTCCAGCTCTGCTGAGCATGTAACTTCTGGCTTCTGCAGGAGGCATTTGGCTCCAGCTTTACCACTTCATTGCCTCTCCTGCTTCTGGCTGTGTTTTCTGGTCTCTTTTCAGTTCTGGTCTTACCTTTAAACAGAGTATCATGCAAGGCTCAGCATTACCTGAAAAGCGATTTCTCAAACTGAAGAGGTAGGAACACTGTCAAGAACTGGCAATTATCTCCCAGATTGTGAATACAGACAAAAACTTCCAGAGTGTCCATTGTTCCTTGTGGTTAATTTCTCATGTAAGATTATTTTTGAGTAGAGTTTTCATATGCTTGAATGTACTGACATGCTAAATCCTATAAAAGCTTTCGATACCCATTTCTCACAGAGTGGTTTGCCCTTATCATGAAGTATTTTTTTTTCTAGGATGTAGTGAGAGGTGCCCACCAAACTTGTTGCAACCAGTCAGGTGAAAAGGTGATGGTCACAAATTTGATAAAAAATATGAGCTCCACCCAGCTGTGATATTGAATACACAATCATTACTTCTCTTTGGGATTTCAGACAGCTGATCCCTCCATGCAGCAAGCCCAGAACTGCTCAGATTTCACCATGGCTTCGCATATTGTGCAAACTTACCCAAAGTGCATTGGCCAAAGGCTGCCAAATTTATTCCAGCCCTTGAGACAGACTATCCCACGTGAGCCTTCTCCCTGAGAGTAAAAATATTGCAATAATAAATCAAAGGGTTAAAAATGCATTGACATTCCACGACACCCATAATTGTAGAGCTGACACTTGCTCTGGCTTTCCCGCTCCTCTTGAGTCCTTCAAATCAGGTTAGGGTAGTTACTTACAAATCACCTAAAAAGAAGAAATAGATCATCAAGAAAGGGAGGGCAAAGGCAGAAACAAATTTACATATGCAAACGTATATGTCTAGGTGTGATTTGATAAATGCTTGTTATATTTAAAAAGAAATATAGTGCATCTCATCACAGTGCAGAAGATGGTGAGCAGGTGACCCGAATGTCTGCCGAGCCAGCTGTTGATGAGCAGCAGTTCCAATGGTGTTTTGTTTGAATTTATTTATTTACAATACTGCTCCCCATTGGAGCACATTATGCCTAAAACATGAAAACACAGCCGTTCAAATATAGGACACTTTCAAATACTAGGCACCCCACTGGCAGCCCTTCAAACAGAGGACTGTAAAAGAAGAATCATGGCCTCTTTAGATCAGGTATGTGTATTGTAGAAAAGGCTCTGTGTTTAATTAAGCTTTGCTATAAAGCAACCTATTCTTCCTTCCCACAAAACACAAGAAGGAGTTAACTGTTCCCATTCTGATCTTTGGCAGTGTTTACTATCTCAGTCTGTAGGTTGACCTCATCAAACATGTGTCAGCACAGAGGAGAGAACAAGATTTCATAATTAACCCTCCCAGACCCCACTGATCCCGCAGCAGCAGGATGCAAAATACCATAGAAGCACTTCAAATTAAGCTTTTATTTTCATCCATTTTGTTGGGAGAATGTACATTCTTAACTTGCTTGAACTGGATAGGATCATGACTAATGCACTTTTTAAAAAACAGCATCTCTGAAGACACAAGTAGCTTCCATCTGTTCCTAAGAAAATTTCACACAAATAATTTTTCAGTGACTGACTGGTGTGGCATTAATCTATTCTGAACTCAAGTGCTTTTTCCTAACAAAACCTGTTGGTTTGGGGTTTAGGCATTGAAGATGAAGTCCTGAACTTGTTTCCACCAATCTTTCAGGTACACCAACTCTTTGGTTTTGGCTGCAACCATCAGTACCCCTGGGATCACATGAGTCATATGTACCATGCCTTTACAGTGTTACATTTTGAAATCAGGGCCTTTCTGCACAACATTTTCTAAAATGCTAAAAAGGTGCTTTCAAATGAGCCTTTCATGGCACCATCACCCTGCTTTGCTCAGCATTTTCTACATATTCCAAGCAAGGACATCTTCTACTTGTGATTCCTATATAAAATCTTTAGAGAGAAATACTTAGTGTGGGTGTGGGGACCCCCAGACTGCCCAGTATAGACAGTGGTCAAAGATATCTGAGTGAGAATAAAGCAAACTAAGGTGAAGGGATGGGATGGGATGACTGGGATGTTGAGCTGTAGCACTTCATACTGCAACATTTTGTTGCAGGTCCCAGCTCTGGCCACAGCAAGCTATCCAAGCTATGGCTGTACTTGTTGCTCCACCACAGAAACTCCACACTCCCTGAAGGATAGGATTGTCCTTCCTTAAGGTTTTCTGGTTTCTGACATTGAAGCACTACAGAAAGGAAATTAAAATCCTTTCCTCTGGAATTCTTCAGTCACCAAAATTCTTAATCACTCTGGCTTTTCTCAGATTATCATCTTTTTTCCTACATCAGTCTTACCCATAATCTCTCCACCATGTCAGAGGGAATCATTAATCATGCTGCACATCTGCTTTGGGGTTTCAGGATGATTCTTGTTCAATAAATTATAGCTTGGAAGACATGTTTTCCTGATCTGTGCATTGGCTTTGTAATCATTCCTTTTGCCATCTCAGAATCTGTAGAACCCAGAGATAATGCCAGATGCTGGTATCTTTACAGACTGGCTTTATAAACAGGGATTCTTCCTATATCCATGTAGATGGATTGTTCAGATCACTTACTGCTCCCCCATCTCTTTGTTTTGAGCACTGAGAGCACTGCTCCTCTAGAGGTGTAACATCCTAGCAAGTGTGGAAATGCAAGGACAGTTTGTGGGGAGAGCAAGTGGAACAGTTGAGCTGCAGTGCAAGATGCTGGGCTTCTAACTCCTTTGAAAGAACTAACTGTATGGTTCAAGTGACTTTTCTGTCTAAACCACAGCTGGAGAACTCCAGGTCCAAGGCCAGACTTTGTCCTGCCTGGGATCCTAGTCCAGGCTTCTGAAGCTCTCCAGATGACCATGCTCCTTTCCTGGCACCATCCCTTTCCCCCAGGCACAACCATATCGTGGTTTCCTGGCCCTTGCTCAGTTTTCCCATTTTAGAAAATTGGAATGTCCCTCCTAAGGCTTAGTTACTGGTGGGAAAAGTTTTTAACTAAAATGTGCTGGCATATTTCATTTTTGCCCCTGTTGGAATACAGCCAAGAGCTTCTTTGTTAGACTGGAAGCCCCAGGGCTTCAACAGCTACTTCTGCTTTACTTGGTTTCCAGTTGCAACAGTCTGCCAAGTCATCTCAGCACATTATAATTGAACTCCAGGAACTGCTTTCTAGGTTCAATAAAGCAGAACCTTGGTAACTCAGTGTAAGAACACATGAAACCTCACTGAATGCTTGAGTCAATGTTAGTATCACCATGTTTACTTCAACTCCCATCCCTTTTCTCTCCCTCTTCAGGGCTGAGATGTCCGTTTAGGTCAGGACAAGCCTTGACTTTTGGCGCATTTACTCCCAAAGGTTGCCTGCCAGTATTCAAAGGAATTGGAGTCACAATTCGGGCTAGATCTTTCTTGATCTCCAACCAAGATGCTGGCACAGTATTGATAGTAGAGCTGTACACGGATGACCTCTGAAATTCTTCACCCTATGTGTTGGCAGAAACATTTGGGGGACAATTTCACAGAACTTTTGCAGTGGGAGGAGAAATGCTCCAACAGTTTCCAACAGGTAGAGTTTACCCTCACTTGCAAGAATGGAGCACAACTTCCGTCTTTTTTCTTAAGCAACAACAGCTGCAACTGCAGTTTATTTTTTATCAAAGTGAATGAGAAAGAAAAATAGCATGAAAGAAATTTTTGAACCAACACTGAGAGTACTTAGCTATTTCCCATTCCCAAAATGCAATCACAGGACTATGGATTTTCTATTCTCTCCCCACCGTTTTTCCCAAGCACATGTAGGAAGCCGGAGTTGGACTTTGTTTGAGCTATTCTTCTAGAGGGACAGAGCTGGACTTCAATCTTAATTGCACTTTCTTGGCAGAAGGCATCCTCTCACACAAGAGAGTCTTACTTCTGAGTATGGCAGGTTTCCGAAAAAAGAAAGGTCAGGTCTGCAAGTTGCACCTGCCAAAATCCCTTCTATACACACCTGTGAAAGGAGCAGGGCCTTGTTCTTTTTGCAGCGGGCCACCCTGCCTCTCAGTGTATATATATGGTGGGGTTGCACCATTTTTTCCAGTTTGGGGGCTGCACGAGAGAAAAGGGGGTATTTCTGTAGTTGAAAGAGGCTTCATATTCAGCATTTCCATACAGGAAAAGAAAAAAACAACATGCATATGCATGTAATATGTTACATTTCCAACATTATCTTGGTTGCCTCAGCAGCAGCAGCAACTAAGGAAAAAAGGGCAAAGACAGGCAATCAGGGAGGGAGACTAAAAATGGAAAAGACGCTGATCCAGAGCGGTAGATCCACAAATGGAGGCTCCACCATGGCCTTGGGGGCCACCTGCTGCCTACAGGTTATGAACCCCTGATGTCAGTCTGTGATGTCAAGTACGCTCAAAGCTGCAACAGTTGTGGTGGGATGCAAGTATACCAGGCCCTCCGTTCAGCCTCTTCACAGAGGAGAGAGAGCAACGTTCGCTTCAAGGTTTCCTTGCCAGCTAGTGAGGCATACTCAGCAGCCGCTGTGATCATGTGCATAGACTCTAGCATGACCTCATTTTGCTTGATAAATTAACTCAGACTTTCTTAAGAGAGCAGCAGGATACGTATGAGTGATGTAAGTACACTTTATTCCACACACTTATTTATGTAGGCAGCGGATTCTGAGAGTGTATTTATGGTGTGGACAAATTTGGCTTAGTCTGTTGGAACTTTACAGTTTTTCAAATAATCACTGGAATTATCACATTAGTTTTGGAAGATGATATGAGTGAAACTGACAGATAGAAGTCCCGAGGGCTTAGAGAGCTTAATATTATCCTTAAAACTCATCCCTACCAATACTTTCAAATTGACATCACAGGCTTCTGAGTTATGGGTTATTGGCACCTCTTTGTAAGCAGTTTTTGGAATGGAAAACAAAATCAACAATTACCTAACTGCTTGACTTGAGCTGTGCAATTAATCAAATTTTTTTGAAGGCATTGGTAAAATATATCTTAGCAAATCAAGCTGTTGCATGCCCATTCACTATCTCCCTGCTTCAAGAGACACTACATGAAAAATAAATGTTCATGCTCTAAACAGCAGTACCCCGAACAGCATTCAAGGTGACCAAGGTGCAGCCAAAGAACATAAAGGCACCGACATCCTGACCCCATCAATGATGCTTCTGATGGGAAATCTGGGCAAATTATCCCCATTCTTCATACAAGGGAAACACTGGAGGCCGGGAGACATATCACTTGCTCTGAATTCTTTTGTTCCCAGAGTTCCAGGTAGGGGTGGATGTGACTTATGATGTGGGATCAAGTCACATACATACAAAATGTATTGGTTGACTCTAGAGGAAGCTAATCACCTATCTTAAATTAATCATGCTGAACAACCTTTACTAATTTCAAATGAACTATGATTTCTTTTGAATCCAACCCAATCTCATTTTGTAGGACAGACAGCTGCTGAGAATTAAATAGCACACTCCACTTCCATAACACAGAAGAACCTTTTCTAATTTAGTGCCCTCTGGATGTTGTGAACTTCAGCTCTTAGCTGAAGAGTGAGCAAAGTGAGCAAAACTGCTGGTCAGAAATTCTAGGAATTGTGGTCTAAAACATCTGAAGAACACCAGGTTGGGGAAAGTTAATACACCAAATAATTTGAGAACAATATAGCAGGAATCCTATGTACCTTTGCATGTAAATGCATCCAGAGAAAATGAGAGCAATGTTCTGTGAGTGCAGATTTTTGAACTTGCTTAAATACTTCACTCCTCCAGAGGGCACAAAATTGCATAGAGCAATTTTGCTGAAGCAGTTAAAGAAGCAATAGTCTTAGGATGCAATCCTGAACATGATTAATACAGAATAGACCCCATTGGACTTCGTGGGATTTCTTTCTGGGTAAATATACTGGAGGTTGTAAAACAAATAGATTAGCCATGCAATGAACTCAACTCAGTATTGCAAAGCCTTTGTACTCTATGATGGAGTGTCATATTCACCTCTAGGGGCTAGTTTCCCATCAGCCCCAAACAGTATGATCAGTGGCTATGCTGGGAGTCGTAGTCCAAAACATCTGGAAGGCATCAGGATGGGGAATGTTGGCGTAAAACATATACAAAAATACAGTGATTGTTAGCAATTAAAAAAAATCCTATGATTTCTAAAGGAGGTAGTCTTTTTATTCTTTTTTTAAAGAGAACATCTGTTACCCATAATATTTCAGAGCTGTCTCATAAGGAGAGGAGTCAAGGTGAAGACAGGTACCTTCATCCTGAAATCTCTCTCCTCTGCTTCTAAAATGGAAATAAATCCAAGTGTCAAACTGTGACAATGCAGCCTTAAGGTTTAAAGGGCTGGACCATGGTGCACATGCAGACCTTTCTGCGGGCTTCTGAATGGCAACGAATCATTACACCATCTTCAGAGTGAAGCTGAGGCAGCAGTCGGGCACTCCGTCTGACCACTTATGTCTAGATCCAACCAGCTGAAAGCCCCCCATCTTTCTAGCTACCAACTGCCACTACTGAAGCCATCAGAAGGGGGGGGGAGCCACTCCGTGATTATAATTTGATTCAGTTCCATGACCTGCTAGTTCTTAATAAAGTATCCAGTATCATAGTTTGCCTTTCCTCCTCCTTCCCAACCATGTTTCCTTTTGTGCTCTTTCTTTTACATTGCAAACCTGTGGGCAGAGACAGTTCTAATTCTAGAGATGCACATCCAATTTCTACAAAACCAGAAGTCCAAGCATAATTGGGTCTCTTTGAACTGTTTCTAGCAGTTCTCAAGGCAAATTAGATTTTCCTTTGAATCTGCCTGAACGAAAGCTAGGCGTCAACAAGGCTCCGTTACCAATTAAATGCAAACATTCTGTCTCTTCTCTAAATAGCATCTGTCAAGTTTTGCTTCTTTCCGTGTTGATGAGTACAGAGAGGAATTGCAGCCAAGTGGCAGCAAGTCCACCTTCTACTTCTAGAGCACATGTTGCAAAGGACTCCAACCGCATGCTTTTAGGAATGGCCAGGATGGGATACTGAGATGGCCATTCTTCCAACACCACAAGCCCCCTCCCCAGTAGCTTTCAACCACTGCAATTCCCTAGCTCCTGCCCTTGTCCTTCTGCAACTTTACCTGGAGACATCGCTAGCCTCTGTGTCATTTTCAAAAGAATAGCCCCCAAAGAACACAGGGGATAAGGCTGCCCTCTTTGGGCTAACCCCCCAAAATGTCAAGGCCATGCTTGCATGAAAAGTCCTTGTGCTTATTTATATGAAACCTGGCAGGTTTGATCCCCTCACGAAAAACACAGGAGACATAAATCCTTGCAAATATTGTCAATTTCTGCCTAGTAATAAAAGACTTCACCAGTTCCCATACTCCTCCCCCCAAAATTAAGGCACAGAACACAACCATCTCTACACTTATTTACCAGACATTTGACAGGCATAATTCATATGCATACAAAATATTTGACCAAGTTATGTACACTTTTGAGTTCCCGTTCTAATCAACGTGAGACAGGAATTCTTGGATTTCTGAAGCTCAGTTCGGGTTGATGCTCAAGCTGAAGCAGGCAGTTTCCAAGCTGCTACAAGCAGAATTTTCCTTTAATGCATTAGATTAGGCTGGAACTGCTGAGTGCCCAAGGTATCACAGTATGCGAACTTTTAATTGCCTCCTTTATTTTTGTCTGCAAATAAATATATCCATTATATTTGTCTCTCAAATAGGACAAAGTATTGAGCTGTAAAAAAACCCAAACAGCATGATTGTCTTGATATAGTTCTATCCTTTTCAAAACAAGCTCCAAACAATGACAGTACTCTTCCAAGAAAGCTTATTTGAACTTGCTGCTTTTGATCCAGTCACTGGAGTTTTATTATTCATCAGTGAAACATTAATCCACCTGTATTGTTCAGGTCCACAAGGGTTTGCCAGAGAGACAATGCTCTTTCAAAATGTTCCTGCAGAAGAGTGAGCAGAACATAATTTTAACATTTTAAAAATCTGTAACCATCTACTTTCAGGATTCTATAACCCATGACATTTCACAGATGAAAATACAGACATGCCTTCAAATCATACAGGATATATGTACATAAAGCCACTTACATGAAATCAAAAGGGAACATCTCTTGTGTAACTTTTCACCAGGTCCAGTGTAGTGGTGTTAAAGCCCAAGCATTTATATGTCCCCAGTATGACTACTTTTTAGCACAATTGTTTTATCCAAATTCCCTATTTCTGTTTTCAAAGCATTCAGCAGCATTCTAGAACTTTCTAAGATCTTTGCATAAGCCAGTTCACTTTCAGCAAGAATTTTATCAAGTTCTTTCTGTGCAGCATTTTTCCAAGCTAAGCTTTCATGCACACATTCCAACCGTTTTGTCAGTATCTCAATTTCATCTTGGATCTGTTTCTTCTCCTCTTCTGATTGTCTAATCTGCTTGTTCAGCTCCTCTCTTTGTATGCACAAATCTTCTATGTGTTTCACAAGTTCATTATTATAGCCTTGCAGAACAGCTCCCTGATGGGTCATCCTCCACCTTCTGAGGAATAATGTGTTGTCTTCTGCTGGCTGCACCCACCACTGACTTCCTATACCTTTTTTATATGAAGAAGAAAAGGAAGGAAAACTGATAATTGTCTTTGAGTAATATGATGGAGAGCTAGCACGAATCCAATGGAAACACAAAACAGTAACAGATAAAGTACAAGTCAGTCAATCATATTTAGACATTTTTACATATTCTACTGTGCAACTGCTTGTTCTTTTCCTTCTGACGTTTAAGATATTGTGGGTTTTGCTAGAAATAATTAGCAGCTGATATTTTAACACCTATGCTGACAAAGCTTTTACATTCATTGTAGAACAGACACTGTACGATACTCACTAAACAACTAACTCTTTTCTTAAACATCTCAGGATGGATTCGGTTTTAGTCATGTAGATTGCCCAGTTTGGGATTGACCCTGCATATATCTGTTGAAGTGGGCAGTGTCCACAGAAGTTTATGCTTGAATAAACAGACATGTTAGTCTCCAAGGTGTCACAAGTATGTGGCCATACTTCAGAGTGCATTAAGGGAAATTGGGGATTCATGTAACTGCTCATCTTCCAATATGACACGTTATCATTTGCCTGGGTACTACCTGGGACAAACAGGCCAGTTGCTACATAATAATGGACAAACCTGAATCAGAAATGACAATATGAGAACCAGCAAGGGAACTCTTTGGTCTCCAAGGAAATCCTAAGCTGGATATTCTTAAACAAAGAAACGTCAAAGACTCATAATATGAAGGCAAAACACTGAACACAAGGAGGTTGTGTTCCATATCCTGTGGCCTGAATAGGGACAAAGTCTTTTTACTATTCTACTTGTGTTAAGCAACCCTTCAAAGCAACAGTCTATATTATCTCCCAACTACTGTTTTGTGAATGGTCGATGTTAAAAAGCCAATAATCACCATCCTTCCTCACCCGCAGTACAAATATATAAGTCACTTGGCAACATGGCACACATCTGAAAAAGCCAGCTGTGGTCCACAAAAGTAAAAGTAAATGTATTAGCCTTTAGGGTATCACAAGATTGGAAATTAAGTCCAAATGAATCCAAGGGGGTCTCCTCTTAAATATAACTAAATCTGGATCCAACCCATTACATTCAAGTAAGTTCCACTGAAATCAGTTTGAACAAACATTCATAGGATCCCACTAATTCAATGAGGCTTGCTCCCAACACACTGCCATGGGCCTAACTCTTCTAGAATACACTAGCATTCTGACACAGGGCATACCAAATCAGTGCAACTCTTATTGCAAGAAATCCTACTATAGGAGCTTAAGGTGATGGCTGATACAAATTAGAAAGCAGTGCACTACTAGTACAAACTTCCCTATGATCACCAGAAAGTTGTGTTGCCCAAGACCATTTGCAAAACAGGGCAGTCCAGTTCCCAACCAAATAATCAGCATCCCTTAAATGATGTCCTCAAAGGATTGCCAGAGCACAAATTTTGGAGCCCCTGGATGAGGCAGAGGACAGAACAGTTTCTTCTCCTCCATGCCCTACCTAATAAAATTTATAGCAAATAATAGGAATGTGCTTAATGCAGGTTTGCAACTTTAAGTACAGGCATGCAAATGAATTTTTTCTCTGTATACACAGACTCAGAGGGAGTACATATATATGAGCTGTGGCTAACAGCGCAAGAGTGATTTTGTGGTGTGCACAAAAGTGCACTTGCATGCTTGAAAGGATGAGAATGAAAAGCACTAAAGTGCAATGGGACGGAAAGTGCCTTTTCCCCATTGCCCTGCTCATTTCCCTCCATGAGGTCGCCATTTTAAAAACATAATTAGACTCTTACTTCTTCTCCTCTTTGTCCTTTGATAGAGCTTAGTAGGCTTAGCATACCAAATATAGTCCCTTATTAGTTTGAGCTTGGATAACAAGGCTTTCAGGCACCTGAGATATGGCCCAACAAACCAGAGCTAAGTTAGGCTGGCCTCTTCAAACCTGCCTGGTGCTTTCCAAAGGTTTTTGATTTCAACTCTCATCAACTTCACTCAACACAGGCAATGGTCAGGAATGCTGGGAGCTGGACCCTACAGGTGTTTTGGACTATAGCTTGGGGATTGACTTATGGAATGGTTAAGAGGTTTCTGGGGAGATTCTTTCTAAAGCTTATTTAAGGATGCCAAGAACCTGGAACCATCAGCCCTGTGGGTGCTGGGCATCATAGGTGCTGTAGTGCAATACATCTGCAAGACACTGGAATGAAAAAAGCTGGCCTGAGCATTTGCTTTCACAATACTCCCTCCATTAGTACAAGTAACGTTCCAGAAAGACATCATTAAGACTGCAGGTTGACACACATTGGGAACTTCTGATCAAATATTCATCAAATTAGGCTGCAAGTCTCCAGCATGCTCTGCTCAACACTAGGGCAGCTTCGCAATAGCTACTCACAAGTTCGCACCACACTAGGTCATGCATGGGTGTGACATGAAAGCAAGGGGGAGTGTGAAACAACAGGCTGGCATGCCATCTCCTGGCCTAGCATGAAATTCATCAGGAGGCCTCAGGGAGAAGTCCACTCACCCAGGCAACCTCTGTGCTAGGCTTTCCCAATAGGAGTCCCTCTACATATACTGGACTACAAATTCCATCATCCCCAGACACCCTAGGCAAAGCCCTGGGAATGGTGGGTGTTGCAGTCCAACCACCTGGAGAGTGCCTGTTTAGAGAATGCTGCTGTGTGCAATATGATTCTCTCTAGCAAGCCAAACCTCACACTTTGAGAAGGGCCGTTCATGGGATATAATTTTCAAGATAGCTATCCTGGAAAGATCAAGACCCAGACCTTTCAGCCCAACCTCAACCCATCGCCCCACCACCAGCTTCAGCCTTTCGCTCCTTCCCTTTCAGTCTCCTGCTCTCAAAGCTCCGTCAGGACAATTAAAGAAAAGAAAGCGGCGGCACCGACCGACCCATCAGCTGGAAGAAGCGCTCCTGGCGACCCGCTCCTCCTTGCCTCCGTGCTGGCGGCTCTCTTCCCAAGACCCAGAATAGCCCGCGGCCGCCCACGTGCCCCCCAGAATAGCCTCGCTGCCATCCTTAGAAGGCGGCGGCGACGGCGGCTGCCACGGGTCATGCGGCCGGAGAAGCCGCGAGGAGGGAGGCGCGCCTCGGCCGGCTGCCTTCGGGGTGGAGCCTTCAGAGGCGGCTTTCCCAGGAAAAAGGCATCCCTTCCCGACTCGGCGCGCGCCTGCGCACTGCGAAGCTTGAGGGCTTACGGACCACTGCTCTTCCCATCCTCGAGGAAACAGATTCTACTCTCTGTATCAGCCTTCCAGGGCGCGTTGACTGGGGGATGTTGGGAGTTGTAGTCCAATACATCAGGACGGCGCCAAGATAGAAAGGCAGCCGAGCGTGCTCCAAAGCAATTATCAGTTAATTCAAGGACGCTTCCACCTAAATTAAACGTGCACAAGAGTGCGGGATTATCCTAGGGCTGCTTGCCCGGCAAGTTCCATTTTAATCCAGGAAGGCTTGTTCCCCAGCTAAGAGTGTATATAGGCCTCTAGGTAGTCTTAAGGTTGCAATCCTGTGCCCGATTTCCTATGAGTAAGCTAATAGCACTTATTGCCCTGTAAATGAACTTAAAGCCATCTATTGCTCTCGTCCCAGAAACTTTCCTTGGAGAGAGAAATTTTTACAAAGTGTTTTTCGAATATATACCACACAAAAATGCTTCTTGATTTAAAACAGTAATAACAACAACAATATTCCCAATCCCAGTCATACGAATTTTCTATCTTCACTCCCGGTTACTCGTATTAACTAACCTTAGCACTGTCAGGAATAAGATGCACTCCGGCTCTCCATCCACTGCGGAAAACACCTTTCAGCAAATGCCGAACCGAAAGAAAAGCGATTTAAGCCAATCAGTGAGCTAGAGTAATTCCGCCAAACGAGCAGCTTTTCAGAGGGCCTGGGGGGGGGGGAAGGGGGGGTGTCACGAAAATAGTCGATGGTGGCCACGCTCTGGGTTCCTCTTTTCGGAAAAATCCGATGTCTTTTTTAATCGGAGATAACAAGGGTTGGACCGGTGACGGAGAGTCGCTGTTGTCTAAAAACGAAGATTGCAGACTTGACGGAAGCCGCCGATGATTTCCGAAACTGGAGTCTCCGAACCGTGGATTGATGGGAAGCCGTAGGCTTTACATGTATTTTATATTGTTATTTATGTATTTTAATTTATTTATTTGTAAGCCGCCCCGAGGCTTCGGCGAATGGGGCGGCCTAGAAATTTTCTAAATAAATAAATAAATGCACGACGAAGGTTTTCCGGATGAGACGGAAATCACCGATGTTTCCCGAATGAGAGGATCTCGGAATCCAGAACGGAGGAAGGCGGGACATATACCTAATAAGAGGGTGTGTGTATTTTCCCCATAAAGTGGACGGAATGGGCGGAGTTTGGCGGAAAGAGCCGACAACAGCCGACGTTAAGCGAAGGCGGCGGCGTCCGAGTTTCCCGGATGTAGTCGGACGGCGGTAGTGCTGGGAGCTGAGGAAGGGGGGAGGAGGTAGCGGAGGGCGAGCGAAGGCGGGCAGCGGCAGTGGCGGCGGCGGCGGCGGGGGGGACGTCGTCGTTGTTTACCGCGCTCTTCCGTGTGCGTGCGCGTGTCTTCGGCCGCGGTGTCTCTCCTCGCTGGTGCGGAGAGGAGATGGGCCCGTGAGCGCTGCTTCCCCTCACAGCCGAGCTGCCTGAGCCGCCCCTCCTCCTCCTCCTCCTCCCTCCCTTCCCCTCCTCCTCTTCCCTGTCCCCGGTCGGAGCGCTGCTTCCCCCTCCCCCCGCAGCGGCGCCCGTGGCCCGGCCGCGCCCTCCTGGTCCCCTCAGTCTCTCACACACAGGCCGGGCATTGATGGTAATGTATGCGAGGAAACAGCAAAGACTCAATGATGGGTAAATAACCTCCCTCCCCCTCCTCGTTCCGCCCTCCCGACTGCTCTACTCTTCCTCCCCCCCCCCCCCCCCCCCTCCCTCCCCGCTCCCCCCCCCCCGATACCAACGGCCAGTAACGGTCGCTCGCTCGCTAACGTAACGTCTCTCTCTCTCTCTCTCTTTTTTCCTCTTTCCAGCTGTCACGACCGCAAGGGGGACTCGCAGCCCTACCAGGTACCGACTTCGGCCGCCGCAGTCCCCACACTGATAGGCCCTGCGGCGGCGGCAACAACTGGAGTGTGGGAGGGAGAGCGAAGCTACTCGAGCGCAGGCCTCGACCGCTCCTGTAGGCCGCGTAGGAGCAGCCGCTTCCCTTTCCTCTGCTCCGTGTGCGCCGGGAGCGGCGGACCGAGAGCGGTGGTAGCGGCGGATTTGCTTCCCCCACCGGGAGGGTCTGGCCGAACGCGAGGCAGCGAGAGGCGCTCAGCAGGGCAGGGAAGCGAGAGGCCTAGGCCCGATACGGGCCGCAGTAGGCGGCACGGGAAGGGGGGGGCGTGTTTTTGTTTTTTCTTTTTTCTTTTTTTTTAGTTTTTGCTATAAATGAAAACGGTGGAGTGGGTTTCGTGCGTTGAAAATTAAGTCCGAAGGGCTATTTTTTGCCCTCCTATTGGGCTTTCCTAAGAGATGGAATAAGAGCTGGATATCTCTTAGGCCTTAGAGTAGACTATTGCAAGTAAAGCTCCATGAGAATTTTAGCTTGTCAGAATCTTTAAGTAGGAAAAAATGTACATTTGCCCTAAGCAGAGGCACATATAAATATATTTGAAAATACTGGGATAACATGCAGGAACATTCACCTGTTTCTTTCTCTGTCTCATACAAGCACACAACAAAAGCTTTGGGAGAATTGGAGATGTAAATTATTTGATGACCTTTTATCCCAGTATTGCCCTTTTATAGCTCACTGATCAGGTATCTAACAAAATGTGACAGCTGGAGGCTGCCCTTGGTGACAGTTCATCAAATGTAAACATTCACCACCCTGAAGCTTGCATTGTGAAAACATGCAGGTGAAAAGAGTTGCTGATCAAAGCAGTTTCCAGTGTGTTGTGTTCAGTATAACAAAAGTTGCTGTTGATGCTAAATATATAATATGCACACATGCATACACACAGAGTAGTTGTAATACAGGTAGACTTTATCCCTTTCATACTACTTGTGTTTATTGCATTTCTATCCCCATTCTTGAGAAATTTGTGAATTAGATTCCATTTTGTCATATTTTATAAGCAAGTGATCCTGTTGAATAAAATTTATATTGTTCATGTGAGATAGGCTGTTGAGGAATAAAGAAGAGATGTGAATCAGAATCAAATGCTTTTTAGGTTTTATATCACTTCTACACTTGTATAAGAATAAGACATGTTTCATTTATTAAATACAAAGCTGTGCCATTTTCTGCAAATGAAAAACAGTGACTATATTTATATGTAGATAGGCTCCGATCATATATCTGCTTAGCTGAGAGCAAGCCCTAGTGAACTTAGTGGGCTTTATTTTTGAGCAATTGTGCATAGGATTCTGTTGTAAAACTGTAATCCTACTTGGGATTAATCACCTTTAAACTCAGTGAAACAGGTACAGGATTGTGATGTAAAACACTTAGGAGAAACCTGAATGAATAGTGAAATAACTTAAATGCATTATGTTCAATAAGTTATAATGATAAGGAATAGAACTTGCTTGTAATAAATTGGGTTTAGGAATGAAACAGCCAGAATTACATGCTAGTAAGTGTGGAAAGTCATAAAGTAGGATAGGCATCTAGAAAACTGAAATTAGTTACATTAAAGTCCCCTTCCCAGTTTTGGACAACAGTGTTCTTCAGATGTCACAGTGCTTCTGAAACTGAGAACAGCATGGAGTTGAGCATGGAGTTCAGCTGTTCAACGAGTGTGCAGGGAATGTCCAGAATTCTCTTAGTCTAGCATGAACCCTTCGTGTATGCCTAAAGGCATAATTCTATGCATGTATTAGAAGTCAAAATTCCCATCATCCCCCAAGTAGCCATGGGGGCTTTGGGATGCTGGGAATTGTAGGACTTATGCATCAACATGTACAGAATTGCACCCATGTTCTTTCGATGCTAGTCATTGGTTAGAAGTTACCTAACATATAAAAACCTAGAGGTTAAAAGTGTAAATTCTTTGTTTGCTGCCAGAAACACAACATAGAAATCTGTACTTCTTTTGTAATTTTTGTAGGCTCTTAAGTACTCGTCAAAGAGTCACCCCAGTGGTGGTGATCACCGGCATGACAAGATGCGAGACACCACAGACCCTTCACCACCAAATAAAATGTTGCGGCGATCTGATAGTCCTGAAAACAAATATGCTGACAACACTGGACACAGTAAAGCTAAAAGCATGCATACTCACAGAGTTAGAGAGAGGGATGGTGGTGAGTTAACTTTTAACTTATTTTAATATGAAACACAACTAGCTATTAAATCTTGCATCAAAACAAAGATTAGTGAAGTGAAGAATTTACCTCATTACTTCAGTCATAAAACCTAAAAGTTAAATATGCTCATACTTTTTTTTGTTTCATTTCTTCTTAATTTTCTTTGCATTATAACTAGGTGCTTGGTTTTTTATATATTATAAATGTAAGCTTGCTGAATTCATGACCACAAGTTTCAATGGTGCTTTCTTTGAATTTTCTATTTACTTAATTTCATTTGTTGAAGGTCTTCTGCTAGTACTTAATACCTTGCAAAGTTGGAATTATCCTAGGACTAATCTAAATTCAGTACTGGGAAATAGCAGTTTCCAGAGTAACTGCACTGATAGCAGCTGATTAGTTACATGGAATGTTCAGTAAAGCATGGCCTACTCTTAAAATAATGCAGTTTGATTTACCTTTTCAACAAATGAAGGGTAACTGAAAAACATATTTAAGGGCAGGCTGGAAGTGAGAGGCTAGATTCTAGTTGTTACAGGTTCTAGTCCTTCATAGATAATTTTTTCTGAATTCTGTATATTCAAGCTCTTGCCCTTGGGTTGCCTTTTGTGCAAGAGTGCTGTCCAAGGTAAAGGGAGGCTGTATATTCTATTATCCTTGCTGCTTTGGGCCTCAAGCTGATCCAACTATTTGGAAGGATGTAGAGGCGGAAGGCTAAGTTTTTTTCTCCTCCCTCCTTTGTGTTACTGTTATTGTTATCGTGTTTTCTGTTATTAGCTCTTTATTGTTGACCACAGCACCAATCTTATTGACAGCTGTTTTATAATTTTAATTTGATATTTTAATTATGGTTTATGGGGGACCCTGGGGAGCAGTGGGGTGCCCCCATCAGTGTGGACACGGGTGGGGAAAGTATGGTGTTCGGGGAGCTACAGGCCAGTAGAGGAGAAAGGGGGTTAGATATTCAACTGCTGTCTCCTCTTCTGGTTCTCCTGTCCAAAAGATGCCAGGTAGCTCTTGACCTGTCTGCTGCTAAATGCCAGGTTGTCTTGAAATAAAATCTCCCTCATCCACAATCTCATTGTAGGTGAGGGTGCTGAACTGAGTGTATCACAGAAACCTGGGTGGAGGAAATGGGAGATGTAATTCTCTCCCAGTTGTGCCCACTCAGGTATGCAGTGCAGCACCGACCTTGGCCTGGGGGTTGCGGAGGGAGAGTGGCCATAACGTAGAGAAATATGATCCCTCTCTTGATAATTCCAGTCCACTCAAGGACAGGTCTTCAATGTCCATACCTGGTGTTGGGCAGTCAAGATGGGATTCTGTTGTACTGCTCACCCACCTACAGATCAGATGCCCTACTTGACCTGATGGAGTTAGTCTTGGATCTGTTGAGAATCTCCAGGATGATGCTGGGTTACCTCAATTTCCATGCTGAGGCTGCTTTGTTTGGGGCAGCCTCAGAACTTCATGGCTGTCTTGACAACCATGGGGCTGTCTCAGCATGTCACTGGCCCAACTCATGAAAAGGTTCACACTCTGGACCTGATCATTTTGAGTGGACAGGAAGATGGTGATCTGGAAGTGAGAGGTTTGTCACCCATTTGTCATGATCAGATCACTTTCTCATGAGATTTAGACTTATGGCTGCTCTTTCCCTATGCAAAGATAGGGTACATATTAAAAGGGTTTGACCCTGGAGTCTGATGGATCCAGTTCATTTCCAGCTGGGAGCTTTTCTGGCTGAGATGGTTGGTTCTATCAAAGCCCAGGATTCCCTGTGGAAGTCAGAGGTGACCCAAGGTGGTAGACATAATTGCTCCCAAGCACTCTTTTTTCACAGGCAGAGCCTGTGTGGCACCATGATATACAGCAGAATTATGGGCAGTGAAGTAACTGGAAGAGAGCTTGAGTGCAGGTGAAGGAAAACTTGGGCTGAATTGGACTGAACGTGGTTAAGAGCTCACTGTTGAGCCTGCTCAGTGACAGTAAAGGTGTTGAAGAAAGCCTCTACCACCAGCATCACATCCTCTCAGTGCTGCCCGGTGGAGCTGTTCCAAGTAGTCCATGGCCTTGTATGCATTGGCCCCAAAGAAGATGGTGAACCGTCAGCATCCCTCTGTCAAACTTACACAGCACTTTGAGGGTAAAGTTGATCAAATTCAGCATGCGTTGGACTCCACATTTGATGCAGTTCCTATAATGGAGGTGTCCAGAGCCCAGCTGGTCCTATTTCACTGGATAAGTTTCAATATTGAGGCCTGATGATATGGACAAGGTGCTTGGACAAGTCTGGCCTACCACTTGTACTCTTGCTCCTTGCCGCTCATGGCTGGTAATTCAAGCCAATGAGGGAATGTGCTTCTGGATCCAGGCTATTGTGAATGCCTTTCTGACAGAGGGTCAGGTCCCCTGCTTTTGTTAAAAGAGGCAGTAGTCAGGCTTCTCCTGAAGAAGGCTAGCCTGGACCCAGAAGATGTTAACAACTATAGGCCAACATTCCCTTTCTGGGTATGGTGCTGGAGCAGGTGGTGGCTTGTCAGCTCCAAGTACTCTTGGAGGAAATGGACCATCTTGATCCATTTCAGTCTAGTTTAAGTGTGGTTATAGGACAGAGACTGCCTTGGTCACCCTGGTCACTTTTGCCAGGAGAAAGATGGGGAGTACGTTCCCGTTCTCTTGAACTTCTCTCATTAACAGGATACCTGCCCTGTCCTGGATGGGGTTGCACTCCCCCTGCATGACAGAGTGCAGAGTTTGGGGGTGCTCCTGGACCCAGAATTGTCCCTGGAATACCAGTTGGCATATGTGTCGAGGAGCACCTTTTATCAGCTGCTGTTGATATATCAGCTGCACCCCTATCTGGATGAGCAGCATCTAGCAATGATGATCCACACATGGTAACCTCATGTTTCGATTACTGCAATGTGCTGTACCTTTACCCTTGAAAATGGCTTGGAGACTTCAATTGGTGCAGAACAGGGCTGTCTGTTGACTGGAACATAAATCCTGTTCTTGATGGGTTAACTCTGACTACCAGTTGAAGTCCGGGCCCACTTCAAGGGGCTCATATTAATGTATAAAGCTCTAAATGGCTTGGGACCTGGACATCTTATGGATCACCTCTTCCCTTATGTACCTACCTGGACCCTAAGATCTTCAGTGAAGGTCCTTCCCCAAATGCCACTTTTAAAGAAATTAAGAAAGGTGGCTATGAGGGGAAGGGCCTTTTTGGTGGTGGTGACCCATTTATGGAATCAACTCCTTAGGTGTGCCTGGTGCTGACAGTTTATACATTTCAGTGCCAGGTCAAAACTTTTTATTCTCCCATTATTTTAATTGATGTCTAGAAATGTATTTTAATTTTTATTATGATTGCTGGCAGTGATTCACTATGTTATCTATTTTGTGTTACTGTTGTTTAGCTTGCTTTGCTTGTATTCTTGTATAGCTTTTTGGTTACTGTTGTTTTAACGTTCACCTGTTTGTAAACCCTCCTGAGAGCAATGTGCTGAGGGAACATTATATATTTTTTAAAAAATAAATAGTTTGGGTACTCCTCAATTCAGTATGCTTCTGATAAGGAGTTTGTATAGAGTCCTGAATCCAGCAACTGATGGCTCCATTGCTACTAGCATGAGTTCCAAGTTGTATGTATAGGCTAAATGTGAATCTTTCTTTGATTTTAGTGCTCGGCCTTTTACTTAAGTCACAATTCTTAAAGTTCTATTCTTGTTTCTTTGTAATTATTTATAGTACTTTGTCTTGAAAGAAACAAGACAAGGTACTTACATACCATATAAGTTTTACAGTGTAGCACACTCTTCATTCCTTCAGTTAGAAAAATGATAGATGCTTTGAGCATGTGCTTAATTTTATATTAGGGTTATGATGAAATTTTAAAAATGGCACATAGAACTTTTGCCCGTGTCCATTCGATGTGAAAAACAGGACTTGATGTAACAAGTTTCCTGGAAGTGCCACATAGTTTAAAAAGCATAGGAAAAACTAATTGAATGTCTGACTATAAAGGCATGAAGTAGTAAATGACATATTTTTACAGCATGGGTACTATCAAATGCTTGGTATGCAGCTTTGAGTGTAAGTCAGGAATATTATATGCACGTACAACTTCAGTAATGATTTTTTCTCATATTCCTAGATTCATTTTTCATAATGCATAACTAGTTAGGCTAGACCAGGGGTCCTCAAACTTTTTCAACAGGGAGCCAGTTGAAAGGTTCCAGCAATGGGCACGGGATGCCAAGGCAGTGTAGGCAGGGGGCACGGGCTGGTGCGGGGCATGGGGGGCAGGCACGTGCAGAGATCGTTTTCTCTGAGTGAGTCCAAAATGATCTCTATGCGAGCAGTCTGCCTCTGGACACGTGCACTGTGAGGCGGTGGCTTGCTCGCATGGATTTCGTTTTCTGTGAGTGAGTCCAAAACAATCTCTGCACGAGCAAGCCACCACCTTGCCATGCTTGCTCGTGGCGAGTCCAAAACCTCTGTGGCGGGTTGGATAAATGGGCATGGCGGGCCGGATCCTGCACACGGGCCGTCGTTTGAGGACCCATGGGCTAGACTGTTAACTATAAGACATTTTAGATATAATAACTTAAAATTTGATAATATGAAATATGTGGCTCAAATTGAAATAGAAATATGTGGCTCAGTTTCTTTTTTTTTAACTGAGGAACATGGCTGTTGTAATTGTTTTTTTTTATCATTTATTAGGGAAAAAGTCTGCGACCCCTAGACAGCGTCTAAGGGGCTGTAGGATACTTGGATTCCCCATCCAAAGTCAGACAACACTCCAATCTTGAGAGCAGGGAATTGGAGAACTAACTTCTCTTCCCCTTGTAGCTGGTGCAGAAAGAGCAGTGCTACTTGCCCTCTGAGGTTGGGAAGTAATCTAAGTTAGGGAGAAAATGGAATGCTTTGGTTTAGAGGAGACTGGTGAGGTCAAATGCAAGTTATCCTGCCGTGTCTGAAACATT